TCTTGTTACTTCTCCAAAAATGTTTTGGATTAGTACATACACATCATTATCTATGACCTATACAAATTTCGTGAATTATTTTTGCCATGAAAATTTTTTATGACGTTTTATTAATTAGCTAATTAATTGCACTATTGTTTTTTGTGGGAGTTTTTTAANTCCAACAAAATTCATACATTTAATTATATATATATGTAAGTGAAGTATTTACATGCTTGTATTTCATAGTTTAATATTTAATAGATGCATATACATAAAATATTCTTATTGATCATGATCAATTACTAGTTGTTAAAAGTAAATTGATAACAAAAAGTTAATAAAAGTGTTGTAACAAAAAGAAAAAAATATGACAAGGCTCCCTCTGTCGCATAGCAGAAGAGTTAATGTTTTTTCAAAAACGTAAACAAACTGCATGCAAGTCAGCCATGTGGTTTTCTCGTGAAGTCCACGTGTAAAGTTATTTATTTCAATAAAAAGTAATGGGTTATGGGCCCAGTCCACGTCCAGTCCACATGAAAATAAGAAAAAGTACAGTCTTGAAAGAAAGAGAACATTGTGGTGTGCCTCTGAAGTTATACTTGGTTGAATACGTGTGAACGAGAATGAATAGAAGGAAAATGGCTGTCAGCAGGGATTACAAGGTAAATGTAGATGAGTTCCAAGACTGGACAAAATAGAAATGTCACTTTTCTATGGTGTTGCGTTCATATGGATTAAAAGATATTATTAACAGAAAATGTGTACATGTTGAGTTACCAACAGAGCTGATGAATGAACAAAAGGCAACATATACTGAGTGGCAGAAAGACAACGTGAGGATGGCAAGTTTAATACCAAGTATGCTAAGTAAACCAGTTGCTGAGCTCATGTTGACGTGCAATGATGCGAAAGAAATTTGGGATAAATTACGTGCACAATTTGAATGCAGCAGTACGCAATGTTTGAACATGTTAACTGAATCCTTTTTTTGGGTTAAATAGGATGAGAAGGAGGACATTAGCACTCATGTTGCCAAATTGCAAAAGTTATTTGTGGATTTAAATGATTAATTAATGAAACATGAAGAAAATACTTTGTCTGAAAAAATATTAAAAGGTCAAATTTTACCTACATTGGGAAACAACTATTATAATTTCAAAGACCTTTGGGACACAATTCCTTCAAAAAATCGAAGTTTGAATTTACTCATTGTTTTCAATGAGTAAATTCAAACTTCGATTTTTTGTGCACGATTGGACTGTGTGATCAAGGCACAACCAAAACAAATGTTTTTTTTTTTTGCTTCTGGTGAGTATAAAAAGAAGCAGAATTCTGGAAAAACAAAAATTTCAATGTAACAAGTGCAAACATATGGGTCATTGGGCAGCAGATTGTCCACAGAAAAAGATAGGTGTCGGGACTATTAATTAATTAAGCAACGAAGTGGCAATGTATTCATTTCACATGTCATGGGCGCGTCGATTGGAAACTACATTGATGCAAATAAATGGCATTGTGATAGTGGCACAATCAAGCATATTACCCCAAACAAACAATACTTTGTCTCATATAAAGAATTTGTTGTTTCTGAAGTAATCTCACTTGGAAAGCAAAATGTGAGTATGTATGCACATGGCCAGGGAACAATAAGGATTAAAGTTCGACGAAACAATATCTGGTATAATGCTGAAATGAAAAATGTTTTGTATGTCCCTGATGCAAGTGTCCACTTGTTTTCCATCAGAGCAGCAGCATCGAATGGCTACAGGATAGTAATCAATGACGAAAGTGTTGAAATTCGAAACAAAATCAGTGAGAACACTGTCATGACTGATTACATGAAAAATTATCTGTACATGCTCGATATACGTGTTGTAAAACAACATAAAAACATTCGGGTGAATTTGGTGACAATGTCTGATACTCTACAAGTGTACCATGAAAGGTTTGGTCATCAAAATAAACAGCACGTAAAGGATGTTTTGAAGCAAATGAACATCAACGTGGAAGGTTGCAAAGAAGAATTCTATGATGGATGTGCTTTGGGAAAAATGCATAGACTACGATTTAAGCAAAGAATGAATTGTCCAACAGTTACTGGCGAATTGATCCATGCAGAAGTGAATGGACCAACGTCAACCAAATCTTTAAGAGGAGTATGTTACTTATGAGTTCTTCAATGTTGGGATGTATAGGATGAATCAGAATATTCCAGGGAGGACGCGATACAGATTAATCACACCTTTTGCATTAGAGGAGAACTGCCTTACTACCTTATAAGAGTAGTAAGGCAGTTCTCCTCTTATAAGAATATAGTTGATTAAAAGGTTTGACTTCTATCAAAAATTCTTGTAACTATTCGTTTCTGTTTTAGTAAAAAGAAGTCTGACAAAAAGTGTCACTTGCTTTTGTCAGGGTTAAAGCTTGTCTAGAGTTACATTTGTCAAAATTTGTTATTTCTTTGCATTCTTTCTTTTTTGATTTAATGTAAAAAACTTTTCATTAAATAAACTTACATTGATTTGACATTATGATCCAAAAATTTAATTTTTGATAATTATTATGGTTTTAAACTAAAAGTATTATCTAAAGTAAGTCTACACCAAATGAACAGTCAGAGTTCTTATCAGGTTATAAAGCCAAATAATTACTACATTTTGGCAGGAGGCAGGCCACCTGGGCTTCATCTTTTGTTAAATATAATAATTATAAATAAATAAATAAATAAATTTAGTTCAATTTAAAATATTCTGGAAAAAAAAATCAGCCTGGAGTGGGACTCAAACCCACAACTCGGTTAAATCTAAATTGTTTAATTAGTCTGGAAGCAAAGATTAAATGCAATCTGAGTAGCATAACTATCAATTTGCCTTGAAGGTAAGCAGAAGTTGGTTTGAGTCCTGCTCCTGGCTGATCTTTTCTTCCAGAATATTTTAAAATTAATTCAATCAACTATACTAATTGAAATATAGGACTTAGTAATTACATAGCTTTATAGCCCAATAAAAATCTGTCTGTTCATTTGGTATTTAAAATAATTATTAGGATAGTTGCAATATTTTATATACGAAAATTCATACTTTTTTGATATATGATATTTAAATAATAATTTCTAGGAAACATAAAAGTTAATAATTCCTTTTCAACATTATATTTTAAAATTTGTATCTTACATAGTATACATTATATTGAAAATTAAAAGATTTTACACATTACAAAAAATACCTTGACAATATATATGATTGTATAAGACAAGACTAAACAATTTCGGAATTCTACTATTTAAAAAAAAACACAAAAAAAGCTATTTATAGAGTGAATGACACTGCTGAAACCTTAACAGAGTATACACAACATACCAATACCAGCACACTTGAAATTTAGAAATATTTACAAACATTTTCATCACTTTAACACAGAAGAAAACAGCTACATTAAAATTGAATGCATTCTTACAAATAATTTACAAGTTCAGACTAAAATTGTTTCTGGAACAAAGTACGTCTACAATTTAAAGTTATTTTTCATATACGTTACAAACTGATTTAATATTATTTTCCAAACAAAATACATATTTAGTTTAAATATATTTTTGATATATATATGAACGTATATGAAAAATAATTTTAATAAAGTGTAGACGTACTTTGTTCCAGAAACAATTTTAATCTGAACTTGTAAATCATTCGTAAAAATGTGTTCAATTTTAATGTAGCTGTTTTCTTCTGCATTATATGTCTGAAAATGTCTGTTATAAATGGATGAAAACATTAGTAAATATTTCTTAATTTCAAATGTGCTGGTATTGGTATGTTGTGTTATGTTTATTCTATCCAGTATTGGCGAGTTATTGTCTTAACAGAGTTGTAGAGTATGTCTACAGGAGCAAAAAAATTGAAGAAACCATACCTCTACATGTGACCTTTTGTGAGATATAGCCCCCTCAAAATCAGCCTACTTCAAGATGCTATAGGAAGTCAATGCTACAATCGTCAAGTAAAAAAAGAATATTCAAAATTTGAATAGTGATTTTTTTATATTCTTTATGTTAAGTGAACTTAAAATATTTTTTTAACCTAAATATGTTAGAATTGAATGCATGCAATAAAGGCTTGATTTAAATTTAAAACAAATATAGAGTGTATACATGATATATAAAATATGGTTGAAGAAATTAAAATATGAAAATCTATATCTAAGATAACATACAATATAGGGTTAAGCAAAATAAGGTTAAAATCTTGAAACAAAAATAAAATCTACATAAAATTTTAAGATTTTGTAAAGTGTTATCTTATATCAAGAATTTCAAGAGTGGAGAGTTGCAGGGTTTTAATAAAGATATGTGTAATAACTTCCAGATGGACAGAGTTCTGCAATCTAAACATTGCTTAAGAATGGAAGTATGGGCCCATAGTGAAAATTATTTTCTAATATGTTTTTCACAAGATCAGTGGAGGGTGTTATTTTTATCATGCATCCTGGTGTTCATTTAAACGGTTTGATAACATTCTAGTTGTGGCACCTATGCTAAAGATCTTGGTTCTCATTTGTGCTTGCTGTAATGGGAGCCACAGCTCCTGACTTCTGCAAAGGGTAAGAGAATCCTTATCATTACATAGAATTCTGTGGAGTGACAGCTGAGGTTTGATGGTAGGTATGACCCCATGTCTTCTGTAAGCTTGAACTATTCATAAAGTAATAGACCTTAAGTATAGGAAGTTCTGCAAATATTAGCTTTTTGTTTTCATCATTGGAATGGAGGGTGGAAAGAGAGCAGTGCAAATTAAGTTGTTAATAAATTTAAACTTATGTACAGTATAAGCTAGATGAGTGGCAGTTCTATGTAGGGATATATCTAAAATCATGATTTTTCTGTCTTGCTTTTTCTCAATAGAGAAAAAGCAAGACAGAAGGAGGTTATCAAGCTTAAAGAAAACATTAAACGTACCATCAGATGGACACGTCTGAATGCGGTTACGATAATAAGGGCAGATAAAGCCAAGAACCTGGTTATCATGAAAAGAGAAATGTATGAGAGAGGGCTGCAGGAATACATAGACGTAACGCAATGCAATAAAGTAGAAACTAATTGGATAGAAAAATTACATTCATGGGTTAAGCGTTTGTCTGCTACGAAGTTGACCAAGAAACTAGACCTGAGAAACATTACAATGGATAACCTGGACGTTCCTAAGTTATTTGCGTTCGCGAAAACACACAAGGAAGGCCAACAGTTTAGACTGGTGGTAGATAAGGCCAAGGCGCCTACGCGTAAATTGGAGAAATCGATCCATAACATTCTTANAAAAGCAAGACAGAAGGAGGTTATCAAGCTTAAAGAAAACATTAAACGTACCATCAGATGGACACGTCTGAATGGGGTTACGATAATAAGGGCAGATGAAGCCAAGAACCTGGTTATCATGAAAAGAGAAATGTATGAGAGAGGTCTGCAGGAATACATAGACGTAACACAATGCAATAAAGTAGAAACTAATTGGATAGAGAAATTACATTCACGGGTTAAGCGTTTGTCTGCTACGAAGTTGACCAAGAAACTAGACCTGAGAAACATTACAATGGATAACCTGGACGTTCCTAAGTTATTTGTGTTCGCGAAAACACACAAGAAAGGCCAACAGTTTAGACTGGTGGTAGATAAGGCCAAGGCGCCTACGCGTAAATTGGAGAAATCGATCCATAACATTCTTATTCCGCACTTAAGTGGCTACCCATTTACCATCTCTAATCCCGTCGAATTGATCCAGCAGTTGAAATTGATCACCTCCCCGGATTGCATTACGATTTTGGATTTTAAATCATTGTACCCCTCCATTAGGATACCGGCATGCTTTTGCGCTCTTAGAGACTTTCTATTTGCAAGAGTAAACGACATAGCGCTCCACCAGAACGTGTTGGAATTGGCGCACCTTATTTGTTATAGTTCTGTGTTTCAATTTAACGGGGCAACATTCTCACAATCGAGAGGAGTCCCGATGGGCAGTCCGGTATCCGGAGACTTGTGTTAATTGGTGGTGAGACAACTCAAATCTAGAACCCTACCGAGATTTGTGCAGGACATCATGCTCTACAGAAGATACGTAGATGACGTTATTGTGGTATGGAAAACAACACCAAACTTGGCACAATTCGTTGAAGCGATGAATGATAATCCATACAGGCTGTCACTCGAGGTGGATCAACATAGCAACACTAATGTCCACTTCTTAGATGTAAATATCAGAATTCAAGGACCCAACATTCACACTACCGTCTATCGGAAGCTGTGTGCAAGCCCCACATACATACCGAGTGACTCATGTGACCCGTTTCAATACAAATTGGCTGCTTTTCGATCTTTAGTTAGAAGAGCATATTCTCATTCATCTACACAAGAAGCACTTAGAGAAGAGTTAACACACATTGAGAAGATCGCTGACATGCATGGCTACCACAATATTGTACCGAGAATCGCAGAACGCCACGAAAGGGCACTGATGTCGCACAACACTCCTATGACAACATTGAGAAACAGCCACAGCATTGATATGGAAAGGATCTTGCTTATGTTCAACCATATCTTGATATCGGTATATACAGCGGTTGCCAAAAGACGTAATGTCAACATTGCTTACAAGAGGGGCCCAACTATATTTGACATACTACGCAATGGAAAGGACCCGCCTGACCCGATCAAATCGCCGGGCATATATCGGATCCCTGTTCGTGATGATAGATTCGGTAGGGATTTGGTCTATATAGGGTCTACGAAACGCTCGATGGGTGTGAGAATAAGCGAACACAAAGCAGACATACGACATAACAGAGCCACCACGTCACTCTCGGTTTATGCTTCTGACCCTGATATTACGGTTGACTTCGCAGGGGCAAAGTTAATAGTTAAAACAACACAGAGGGACCACCTCAAATAGTTAGAGACGGTGGAGATATATAAGGCACACACTACATCTGAGTGCATTAATTCACGGGAGGAGATGGCTCTTTCGGTCGCTTGGCAAGCCGTTCTACATAGTGACTCGTAAAGATGGATCTAATATCTGATGATGCGGGGGACACGTGAGGTCAAATGTTAGAATATTGCATCAAATGAAGAACGAGAAAAAAATTAAATGAGGATTAGAAGATTTAATGTGAAGCCGAACAATGGGAAACACGATGTGTACATCGCGCATTCGAACTATCATCGGTCGTTTTATTTTAAATTTATTTTAAAATTTTATAATAGTGTTCCAGAATATGAAAAAATCCAGTTTGAATACCTGAGGAAGAACACGGAAGGTGTTCAGAAAACGTTTGTGCGTTAGAAGTTTTTGCCGTTTCACATCGGTTACAGGCTTATGTAAGTCGAATTTTATTTTATTATATCACCCGGTGTGCCTGTTGGAGTTATATATCTCAATAGAGAATGAGATCAAAGGGTAAACAACTGGCAGAAGTTTAACAATTTTTCAAAAGAACCTAAAATATTTGTAAATTCACTTAATATATAGAGGTTTTAAAAATCACTATTGAAAATTTGAAATTTGAATGTTCTTGCATGTATTTAATTCATCAAATAAATAAATTTAATGTTGAAAGACTAAATTTTTTTCCTTGTACTATATTTGGTGTCACTTGTGAGTAAATAAATTGTTACAATTGTTTAGGGAAACTTCATCAACTCAGATTTTTTCAGGATAAATCCTGGGTCCTCATCCTTAGAAATTAATCTATATAGAGATGGTTGTGACTGAATAGGTATAATGTATTCAAATGCCCTAAACACACAAGCTAATTTTAAATAAATACTACTCATAAAAGGAACTACATGCTTAGCTAATTTTAAGTGGTGGTCTGATGCACGTTGCACAAACTGGATACCCTTGTGTTAAGAAATTTTAATTTACTGATAAAATACCCAGCTTTTCAACACTAATAGGAGTATGTGCTTTAGTTCAATAGTAATTAATCCAGATAAAGATCATAATAAATTAGCTCTCCTGATGAAGGAAACAGTGGTAGCATTTTGATAAGAGAAAGGCTGCAGAAATCTGATGTGATGATGACTGGTAACATGTTGAATGTATGATGAATGTTATAATGTAAATCAGAAGTTGTTATTATAATAAACAACAAACGTACCAGGGAGCCTGTTACCAGTGTGCTTCTCAGAAAAAACAGTGTGTTACGAACAAGTTTGAAAATGTTCGTAATGATCTGTTTTTTCTGACAAGCACACTGATACATTTGTTGTTTACTTTACCTCGGTGTAGTATCACTGTTGTTTCTTATTATAATATTTAAGTCTGGAAGAAGAGACAGCTGATGGTTCTATTGCATTTCTAGAATGCTCACTACACATATATCAGAGCATAAAAAAGACATCTTGCAAGCAGGGTGCACAATTCTGATTGGGGAAATGTCCAATTGTTGAATCCCACTTTAGTTTACATTTGAGAAACTGCATATAATTATTTCTGAACTGTGCAAGAAACCTACTATAAACTTACCAGAGAATTGGGTTTTGCTAGTTAAAATGTTTGAAAAAGTGATGTTTCTTTCACTCTTTTTTTTAACTTTGTCCAACTGGCTTTGAAAATGTTTGATTGTTTTATTGAAATTGCTTGTGTTCCACCAAATGTTATGTCTTCTATATTTAATAAATAACACCACAAGTTAGTTGATTTTACATTTTATTAGACATTTCTACTTAATTTAGACATATATTTATTAAAAAATGCAGTTTTGTTTATTTCATTGATATTATTCAAATTCATAAGAGATAAAACTTGAGATATTTCTCATATATAAAAAACATTTGTTTTCTTTTTTTTGTGGTTTTTACACAAATATATTTAAACTTTAAAATTTAAATAAAAACTTATCAATAAATTTATGGCTACAGCTTTGAAATTTCAGCAATTTACTGTATATTTTATAATTCTTTATAAAGCATTATGAAGCTTAATATTCTTTATCAAGCATTTATTCTTGTGAAATATTATTTAGAAGAATTTTTCATGATTTTTTCTGAATACTTCACTTTTATTTTTCTCCAAAATTGTTCTGTACCCAATAGAAATTTACTTTGCTTAAAACTTACTTACAGTTGCTTGGCTGTTTATTAATCCAACATTACAAACATCTTTTTTCAGAATTTAACCAAGACTAAAGGGGGAAAATGTCATTAAGCTGCCAATTCCCCAAAAACATTTAAATGGTTCTAACAGCCAATGGTGGACTAAGACCTTCTTGAGCCTGTCTATGTAATTTTACATCATAAACTAATAAAGTCTAATTGAGAGAGTCAGGGCAAGTGATCTAATCATCTTCAACTATCAAATATACATATTAATGTCATTCTGTTGCTTTTTGTGTGAACCATCTATCTTTGTGAGAAAATTCTATGTAACGATAGGGATTCTCTTACCCTTTGCAGAAGTCAGGAGTTGTGGCTCCCATTACAGCAAGCACAAATGAGAACCAAGACCTTTAGCATAGGTGCCACAACTAGAATGTTATCAAACCGTTTAAATGAACACCAAGATGCATGATAAAAATAACACACCCTCCACTGATCTTGTGAAAAACATATTAGAAAATAATTTTCACTATGGGCCCATACTTCCATTCTTAAGCAATGTTTAGATTGCAGAACTCTGTCCATCTGGAAGTTATTACACATATCTTTATTAAAACCCTGCAACTCTCCACTCTTGAAATTCTTGATATAAGATAACACTTTACAAAATCTTAAAATTTTATGTAGATTTTATTTTTGTTTCAAGATTTTAACCTTATTTTGCTTTTATTTTATTTTACTTAGCCTTATCTTAGCTATCCATTTTTGTGTTTTACTTATTTCTTTATATATTGAAAACACATTCTCTACTTGTTTTAAATTTAAATCAAAACTTTATCTCACACACAAATTCTAACATATTTAGATTAAAAAACATTCTTATGTTTGCTTAATGTAAAGAGATTTTAAACATCATTATTTGAATTTTACATATTCTTTCTTCTTGAGAGAAAGATATTTTGAAATGTCAAGAGAACTTGCATATATTTAATTCATCAAATAAATAAATCTAACACTGAAAGACAGTACAATTTCTTCCTTATGTAAATTTCCTTTTAGCTAGACTATGATATTGGTCCAACCCCAGCAGCCAATGAGAAACCAGTATTAAGATGACATGTGACAAAATACATTTCTAGTGTTAATTGTAATACTGAACATTCACGTCTCAAAAATATCAAAAATAAGCAAACTGTTTGGAAGAAACAAAAAATATCAATTCACAGACTAGAAACATTAAGAAGACAAGAACATGTAGGGAACATATGCAAGAAAATCTGCAAACTTAAATAAGATTTACCATGAAAATGTGTTTGCAAATGTTATGAATAGTTTAGTGAAGAAATGTAAAGCAGTTCCAATTTTTGGAAAATTTGCAACTACAGTTGGCAAAATGTTATAGTAGTGGATGTACGAAAGTAAACAAAGTAAAAAGAAAATATGGTGCTAGTGGATACTGTTAAGAAAGAAAAAAGGGGATAATAATAATATTTTAAATAAATATATAATAATATTTTCTCTTTCTTAACAGTATCCACTAAAAGGGGATAATAATAATTATTATTATTATTATCCCCTTTTTTCTTTCAACAACAACAATAATAATAATAATTATTATTATTGTTGTTATGTTGGATTTAGTGGGTTATACTCAGTTCATACCAGTAACTGTGTACTATGCCAAGCCAGAATCAAGGCTTAGCAACCGAAACAAAACTAAAATTAAATAAGTGTGTCAGTGTCTGTATTCAGAAATTTCCTAACAATTTGGCACGTATTCGATATAGTGGCCTTCTGTAGTGTGATGTATGTATTTCTATTCAATTGTAATGTTTCCAGGCTTTTGTGTAGGTGTGTGGTATCACACCGGCACAGGACATAACAACAGGTACAATAAGCACCCTATCCATTCTCCACAGATGCCTTATTTCCTGGGTGAGTTCTGTG